AAAGACCCTGATGGGAGTTGTGTACAGGCCTCCCAGCAGTAGTCAAGGTGTGGGCAAGAAAATAAACCAGAAGGCAGAAAAGGCACAATTACACTAATCACAGGGGGCTTCAATATGCAGGAAGACTGGGACAATCACATTGGTAGCAGAGCTTAAGAAAAGAAATTTGTGGAATGACTGAGGTGGCTTTTTTGGAGCAGCTTGAAAGAGCGCCATCTAGGGAACAGGCAATTCTAGATTTGGTATTGTGTAATGAGGCAGATTTCATTAGGGAGCTTAAGGTGACGGATTCCCTGGAGGGGGTGCAATGACTGTAATATAATAGAATTCACCCTGCTGTTTGAGAGGGAGAAGCTGCAATCAGATGTAATGGTATTACAGTTGAGTAAAGGTAACTACAAAGATACAAGGGAGGAGCTGGCCAGAGTTGGTTGGAAGGGGAACCTGGAAGGAAAGACAGCGGAGCAGCAATGACAGGAATTTCTGGGGGTAATTCAGGAGGCACAGCAAAAATTCATCCCAAGGAAGAAGAAACAAAGTAAGGGGAGGATGAGGCAACCATGGTTGAGGAGGGATGTCAGGGAGAGCATAAAAGCAAAAGACAAAGTATATAATGTGGCGAAGATTAAATGAGAAGCCAAAAGATTGGGAAGCCTTTAAAAGCAAATGATAGCTTAAAAAAAGCAATTAAAAGAGGAGAAGATGAAATAAGATTAAACTAGCTAGTAATATAAGTTTGCAGGAGGTTGTTTTTAGATATATAAAAAGGTAAGAGAGGCTACAGTGGACATTCGACCACTGGAAAAGGAGGAACAAAGAACTGGTGGGAGAACTAAATAGGTACTTCGTATCTGTTTTCACAGTAAAGACCAGGACTTCAAGACAGTCAGGGGGCAGAGGTAAATATAGTGGCCATCACTAAAGTGGTGGTGCTGGGGAAGTTGAAAGGTCTGAAGGTGAATAGAATACGCAGACCAGATGGATTACACCCAGAATTCTGCAGGACATAGCTGAGGAGACTGCAGAGGCATTTGTGTGATCTTTCAATCACTGGAGTCAGGGAGGGTCACAGAGCACTGGAAAATGGCTAATGTAACATCCCTGTTTAAAAAGGGAGAGGGGAAGAAGTCAGGAAATTATAGACCAGTTAGCCTGACCTCAGTCATATTTAAGATTTTAGAGTGCCTTATTAAGAATGAGATTACAGAGTACTTGGAAGTGCATGGTAACAAAAGACTGAGTCAGCATGGCTTTGTCAAGGGGAGGTCTTGCCTGACAAATCTGTTAGAATTCTTTGAGGAAGTAATGAGCAAATTAGACAAAGGAGAGCCAGCAGACACTATCTATTTGGATTTCCAGAAGGACTGACAAGGTGCCGCAAAAGAGGCTGCTAAAATGATACGAGTTCATGGTGTTAGGGGCACAGTATTGGCATGGATAGAGGATTTTCTGACTGGCAGAAGGCAGAGAAAGGGAATAACGGGGCTTTTCAGGATGGATGCCAGTGACTAGCAGAGATTCAGAGGGGTCAGTGTGGGAGCACAACTATTCATGATATATATTAACGATCTAGATGAAGGAACTGAGGGCATTGTTATTCTGTTTGCAGATGAACCAAGGATAGGTGGAGGGGCAAGTTGTGTTGATGATGCCCGAAGGCTAAAGAGGACTTGGACAGGCTAGGAGAGTGGGAAAAGAAATGGAAGACGAAATGTGGGAAAGCGAGAGGTTATGCACTTTGATAGGAAGGATAGAGGTGTTTTCTAATTGGGGAAAGGCTTCAGAAATCTGAGGCACAAAGGGACTTGAGAGTCCTAGTTCAGGATTTTCTTAAGATTAACATGCAGATTCAGTTGGCAGTTAGGAACACAAATGCCACATCAGCATTTGTTTCACAAGGGCTAGAATATAAGAGCACAGATGCACTGCTGAGGCTGTATAAGGCTTTGGTAAGACTGCATTTGGAATATTATGGGCAACTTTGGGCCCTGTATCTAAGGATGGATGCGTTGGTGATGGAGGGGGTCCAGAGGAGGTTTACAAGAATGACCCCAGGGATGAGGGGCTTGTCTTTGAGGAGCAATTAAGGACTCTGGGTCTGTACTTGGACTTTAGAATGAAACGGAAACTCCACCCACTGAAACTTACAGACTACTGACAGGCCTGTATAGAGAGGATGTGGAGATGTTTCCACTAGTTGGAGAGACTCAGACCTGAGGACACAGGCTCAGAGTGAAGGGATGACCATTTAGGAATGAGATGAGAAGAGCAGGAATTTCTTCAGTCAGAGGGTGGTTGATCTGTGGAATTCATTGCTGCAGAAGGCTGTGAAGGCCAAATCATTGAGTGTATTTACAAGTTCTTCATTAGTAAGGGAATCAAAGGTTATGAGAAGAAAGCAGGAGAATGGGGTTGAGAAACGTAACCCACGATCGAATGGTGGAGCAGACTCAATAGACCGAATGATCTAACCCTGCTCCTATATCTTACGGTCTATGGTCAAGACGTCAATGCAATTATCGACAATCAATCAGTCAAAGAGACAAGGGCTTTGCTCATAAGTAAAAAAATATTCTCAACGGAGATACATAGAAGCATGGTGACAACTGAGCTACCAGAAGAGTTGACATTGTCAGCATCAGGAGTGGCAAGCTGGACAGGGAGGGAATTGGCAAGCTTAGCACCAACGAATGCACTGGGCAAAAAAAGATCAACAAGAGACTGGAATGATACCATTGAGTTACTATTTGTGACGGGCTAGTACAAGTGCTTCATTAAGATGTTTTACTTGGCAAAGACAAATACTTTAAGCCAAGTGATAGCCTCCCTATTCGCTGAATTTAAGGTGATTAGTCTGCAATTTAATTTATGAAAGCGTAAACTCTTGGTACTTTATAGTGTTGTGCGAGACTGTCCATAGTGTGCAAGAGGTCTCTATTGTGGAGGTTGCATAGGGGCCTTGGCATGTTCTGAGGAAAAGGTCATTGGACCCAAAATGTTAACTCTGATTTTTCCTCACAAATGCTGCCAGACCTGCTAAGCATTTCCAGCAACTTTTTTTCCCCTCTAATTTACAGTATCCGCAATTCTTTCAGTTTTTATTTAGTATTTAAATCACTGCACGTCTCTTCTAGGCATCCCCATCTCGAAGATGTTCTACTCCTCTCTCCGACAGGATTTCTGTTCCAATCTTTTTTCTTGTCTGGCGACATTAATTTCACTGTCACTCACGGTGTTTGACCAGGTATTTCTTTAACTCTATTCCACAGCCATATCACATTCCTCAGTGACTGCCTCTTGCTCAGACACACCCCATGTGGATTCCAAGTGAAGGTTCATCCCTTGTGTTTTGAATCCACACACTATCACAGGTATCTCTGTGATGTTCAACATCCCGCAGACAGGTGCTCTCACCAAATCCTGGAGATCCACACTCAGTGCCACACGCACACACTAGACCTCTCTCTCTCCAACAGCACTGCATCACACTGGCTCAGGGATACACCACTCCACAGTTCCTCTGGTTCATTCGCCATGCTAACAAGAAACTTCTCCTTTTCCTTTCAGGCATCAAGGTGTAGCAACTCAGAGATACCCATGGCCCTCTGAACCTTCCACCCCTCCCCCAACCCCCACCTCCTGTCAAGTATTCACTATTCCTCCTAACCTTCCGCTGTCCGATGTTGAACGTTCCGTACTCAGCAAAGGTCTCTGCTTTATCCCTCTGCGTACCCACCTTAACAAATTTTGGACACGGCATGACATTGAACTCTTCTTTCGCTGTCTTCGCATCCGTGCTCATTTCTTTGGACAAGAGTCCTCTCCCCATCCCACAGATCCCTTCACCCAGTTCCAACACTGTCCCTCCACCTAGACCCCTCCCTCTGGCTTTTTACCTGCACTGGATCTGTTCATTGAGAACCATCGATGTGACATTGATCGCCTCAATTTCTCTGCCCCCCTCACCCAATCCAACCCATCTCCCTCTGAACTGACTGTGCTCCGTGCGCTTAGATCCAACTCTTATTTTGTTGTTAAGCCTGCCAATAAGGGTGATGCTGTTGTAGTCTAGTGTACTGACCTCTACATCGCAGAGACCCAGCACCAGCTCACAGATGCTTCCTCATATCCTCCCTGGAGTGGCGGTCCCGCCGCCACCGCCTCTAAGCTGATAGTTCCACAGCCCCGCACAGCTCACTTCTACCTGGAGTTCTAACGTAGGGTCCAAAACGTTACCTCTGATTTTTCTTCACAAATGCTGCCAAACCTGCTGAGCTTTTCCAGCAACTTCTGTTTTTTTAAAGCAAGGACTATGTTTATCAAGGGCCACTCTCTCATACTAGTTCGAAGTTCATCATTCGACAGATAGGACTTTCCGTAAGGAACTTGTTGGTGTCTTCCCATGTCTACCATCCCTTCATCCAAAGGATATCTGCTCATGTTGCTTCATATCAGAAAGATAGATGGAAGGGGGCTGAACAAGTCATCATAGGGTGGTGTGGGAGGTGCAACACCAAAGACTTCAACGAACATGTGGATTTTCATCTGTCAGTAATGTGTGGGAGAGTGTCAAGAAGCCAGGAAGGTAGATGCACAGTACTCTACTGCAGAGTATGATAGAGCAAATGGTAAGGTCTGTAGCATCCACATTAATTCAACATCTTTGGTTAGAAGATTATCGTGGGTTCCAAGATGCCAGAGGTAAGTGTAGGCTATGGGGAGTCAGTGTTAAGACAGCAAGAAGGTCAAAGAGTTCAGAGGGATTGGGATTGAGAATTTGGAAGGCAAAGTACTTGAGACACGAAAAGTGAAAGAAGGCATGGTGATAGAAGAGAGGTCTATAGAGAAAATGAGGAAAATAAAAAATGGAAACAAAAAAAATTGGCTCAAGTCCATAACAATTCATAAAGTGATCATAAAGTCTAAGATTCTCTCCTTCAGTATCCATACCAATGTTCCATCTGTTACAGCCCGTACAACATTTTCAAATATTTACCTACCACCCAGTGTTTCCCAATGCAATGGAGATGGAGCTGAGCAGAAGGTTGCATTTGGATTCACTGATGACCGCATCATTACTTGCTGCTGGAGCAATTATCACAAACTCTCGTAAACCATACCTAGGATAAGAAACACCTGAAGATGATGAATTTGCAATTGATAGCTATTCCTCAATTTCAACACTAATGGCAAAATGCAAGGAGTAAATCCAAAGAAATCGCTACAGATTTTGCTGAAGTATGTAATTTACCTTTTAAGTTCTTGGGAGGCACTTTTCACAATCAAAAATTCTGCTTATTCAAGAAGTATTTTAAAAACATCTTTTTCTTAAACCCAAGTTTCCCCAGATTACATTATCAAAATGACAAAGTGCAAGTGAAAAGTGGTCCTAATGTTGCTGTAGAAGGCATGAATCAATCTGGATTTGCTTCACACCTCCCTTCACCAAATGGTAGAACTGCCCTTGGGGAGAAATGATCACAATGTGTTACTTAGAAGCATAGGTTGAGAGGAATGTGAAAGAAGTGGACTTATTTTATTTGGAAAAGAAGAAATTTAAAGTCCTGATATTTCCCAGGATCAAAGAGGAAGTAGTTTATTAAATGACAAAACATTAGGCAATAGAGTGAAAAGTTCAAGTGTCAGGATACACAAATTTAGGAAATCAGAGGGCAGTTGAAACTTTTAACCCAAAAGAGAAAGGACTTGTGGAATAAGTTACCAATTAAGACCATCTGGTTGATGGGAAAAGTGAATGAGCTATATAGCCAAAACAGAGCAAAATGTGGGAAGGCAGATGTTGGAGTTGATCCCTGGAAAGGAACAGGTCTGTCATGGCTTTCTTCAGATCCTATATATAAAGATGGTAATAGAATAGTCCATATAAGCACCTCTATTCTGCTCCACAACCTAACAGATCAGCTAATCTGCACCTTAACTCCATCTAGCTGCTTCTGGAACGTAAAACAATTAAACTCACAGGACAAAGGGTACTGAGAAAACTAAAACCTCACAAGTCAAGGACCCGACAGACTTCACCCTGGATATTATGGAAAGGTGGAAACTACGGGCCAACTAGGCTAACATCTGACATTGTAAAAATACTGAAATCTATTATTAATGATGTTACAGCAGGATACATATAAAATCTTATGCAAACAAGCAGAGTGAATATGGCTTTGTGAAAAGGAGATCATGTTTGATTAATTTATTAGATTTCTTTGAAAAAGTAACATGAAGTGTGGATGAATCACAGAATCCACATAGTGTGGAAAACAAGTCATTCGGCCCAACAAGTCCAAACTGACTCACACCCTACACTGTAACCATGGCCAATCCACCTAGCCTGCACATCTTTACGGGAGGAAACTGGAGCACCCAGCGGAAACCCACATAGAGACAGGGAGAATGTGCAAGCTCCACACAGACAGTTGCCCAAGCTGGGAATGAACCCGGGTCCCTGGCACTGTGAGGCAGCAATGCTAACCACTGAACCACCGAGCCATCATGCCTGAAAAGGAAAATGCAACTGTGTTACGTTATTTCCAAATGGTACTTGATAAGGCATCAAGCCACAACCTACTCACAAAGAAAGAACTCATGGTGTAACCTGTAGGGAGTGACATATTGGTACAGCAAAGATTTAGTTATGTAACAGGAAGCACACAGTACAGATGGTTATTTGACTTGGCCAGCTATAACCAGTGGTAAGGCCTCAACTACTTACAAATCTATATGAATGAATTAGATGAATGTTCCAAATGTATGGTTACTAAATTTGTGATGACACAAAGGTAGGCAGGAAACAGTTATCAAAAGAACATAAAAGGTATCTGCAAAATGACAGGTTAACTAGGAGAACAAAAATGTGGCAGGGAGGAATATAATGTGGGAAAATGTAATCTTGCCTAACTGACCAGGTAGAATAGGAAAGCTGTATATTATTTAAATGGAAGGAGTTTATAGAAGAGTGGTGCAGAGAAATCTGGGTGATGAATTAGTGAGCAGGTCTAGCAAGTGATTAAGGTGGCAAATACAACGTTGCTTATATAAAGGGAATGGTATATAAAAGTACAGAAGTTTTGCTCAAGTTATACAGGGCACTGGTGAGACCACATCTGGAGAACTATAGACAGTTTTGGTCTCCTTGAGGACAGAATTGCATTAGAAGCAATTCAGAAAAAATTCACTCAAATGATGCCTGGAGCGAAGAGATTATCGAATGAGGAAAAGTCAGGACTGTGCCGTTTTAGAAGAATCAAATGAGATTATATTGTAAATTACGAAGTCTTGAGGGGACTTAACAGGGTGAATGCTGAGAGAATGTGTCATGGACCAGACCAGACTCTCTCAAAATATTTTAAGAAGGTAGCCTAGACCCTAATGTTTTCTTATTTTAAAAGGTAGATGTGAAGTGCATGTGCCAGATGTGATGCAACTGGTCAAAATACTTGACGTTAAGCAAAGCACAATTTATTTAAACACTATAATTAAAATACAAACAAAAGAAAGAAGAATTTAGCTAAACTATTGGAAAACTTAACCGAATAACAGAGAGTACCTATTACTAATTTACTGTTCCAATATAGTAACATCCCTTAAACAGCTGCTCTTCCTCATGAGAGAGACTGGAACTAGGGGCTACAGTTTTAAAGTAAAGGGACGCCCATTTAGGGCAAAGAGAAGAAGATTTTGTTAGCCTGTGGAATGCTCTTCCCAAAGAGCAGTAGGGGCAGAGTCATCTCTGACAAAATCAGTTTTTGTTCTGTGTTTGAAGCTGACAGTTAGTTAGTTGTAAATGGTAACAGTTGAAGCACAAGATGTTTCAATGTTATTACATTTGATCTTGCCTGAGAACAAGGCCATGGTTTGTTGCAAGGGTTTTAAGTATGTCACTCAAATCAATTCAAGAGTCAGTGGTCATTTTACACAGTCAAACAAGGAGCCCAGTCAATTTTAATATGTCAGGAGTAAGGGTCCCTTGCTGATGGCTGGGTGTCCAACTGGGGCTCAGAAGTACCTGGGAGCAATTTGCTGGCTGTATGCTGTGTTTTAATGAGATTTGGCGACTCAGTGTCACTAACATCTGGATGAGAAATAAGTGGAATCGGTCTTTGTTGCATCTGCTATTTTACATGCTCTAAGAGGTGTATGACCACAGTTTAGCTAACCCATATTTACCCCATGTTAATTTTGGGTATTCAGAGCATAAGTTGTATTGTAGATGGCTTTCCTTTTCAAACTTTACACAGTAAAGCTTACTTTATTTGTTCAAAACTACAGAGTCATGTCTCTTTTTATTGTTGGTAAATACATGGGACTCCAAACTTGATCTGGTAGGGCTCTGAATAATTTTAAGGCCGAGTTTAAATGGATCCTGATAGATAAATGTATCGATAATACAGCTTGAAGAGGTGTATTTTGTCCTTTTTTTTTTAAACGATGAAAGATTGAGACAGAGGCAGAGAGCGGTCTGCTCAAAGCCAATGAAGTAAACAACTTGTGAGGGCTTGGGTTTTTTTTTTAAAGTTGGAACAATAGAAGCAGCTTGAATGGGTGGGGTCAATTTCCCACAGAACCAAGATTTTCAGTTTAGTTTTCAGTCGCAGTTGCTGGGGTCTTGAAGCTGGATGTGGAAGCTCTTTTTTTCTTTCCCTGTTTTAGCTAATAGCTGCAGTTCTCTTCTTGCTGCTAGAATTGCATGTGAGACAATCTATTTTACTGAACTTGCTTTTGCCAAAGGTGTTTAGGGGATATTATTATATTGGAATAGTTAATTAGTCATAGTTTATATATATTCTTTTGATAAGCAGTTTGATAGAGTTACGGGTAAGCAAATTCTTTTATTTTATTTTGTCTGTATTTTAACTGCAGTATCAAAATAAAGTGTGTTTTGCTTAAAGTCGAATTGTTTAACAAATTGAATTGCATCTGGAACACCTTACACTTACCGTTAAAATAAGAAAAACTTATGGTCTAGGCTATCTTAATACATTTTGAGGGGGTTTGGGCTGGTCCATAACATAAGGGAGTCAAAGGTTATGGGGAGGTAACAGTAAGGTCACAATCAGATTCGCAATGACCTTATTAGATAGGGGAGTTAGCTCAAGGGGCAAAATGCACTATTTCTGCTCTTAATTTGTAGACTCATATGCACCTAATAATTTCAAGATAGATGTAATTGACTCAGCATTCAATGCATTTTCAGAGCGAGTTTCAGATTTCTACTGTCCTTCGTAAAAAGTCCTCAGTCGCTCTGATTTCACCCCGAATGGCGCTTGGCTCTAATTTTAAGATGATGCCTTATTAATCTGCTTCCGTTATTCATGGAAATTGATTCTTATCTACTCTGACCATTATACCATTTTCAAGCAAAACAATTAGACCACTCCTCAATCTTTTACACTTCAGTGAACAGAATTATATGTAACCTGTCCTTATAAGTTCCAGTAAATCAGTACTGATACCACAAACGGCTCCCACAAACCTACGGAAAGCTTGATTAAGAGCAAAGAGGCAAAAACCTAGAGCAAGGCCGGCTTTCCACTTGCTTCGTCGGGAATGGTGAGTACAATAGGAGAACCAGAGTACAGAATATTTCAATAGTAGTACATAATTTTTATAAATATTGGAATTTTTGGAAATTTTTACATCAAAATCCATGTAATCAATTACATTCAAATGATTAAGCAAATCTATATATCAACATTATCTTCCAACCATTCGTTTACGTGAATTTTCCATGGTTGCCTTCCCGTGGGAGGTTCATCAAATCAATATTGTTCTCAAGGTGCTCTGTTGTTATAGTTATCCTAAAATGCAGCAATTTATTTCACCAGTAGTGTACAGGTACTCAAAACTGAACTTATAATACCAGTCTCCATTGTTGTGATAACGTTACTATATTGTTGGCACATATTACTCATCCAGAATTTATTTACAAAGATGAGAGACAGACAGAAAATGCTTGCAATAAGAACACATTCTCTGGTATCCCTTCCCTTCCCCCTGAAAAACATATCTTAAATATATTCATGCTTTTAAGAGATGCCACTGCTTCTACATTAAAAAAACAAGGCAGCATTGCAATTAATGAGCTGTTATACTGGATCAGAATTCGAGTCTGATTAATACAAATAAACGTGTCCCACATACACAGGATTTTTCCTATTGCTCACTAGAGAATCATCAATTCTAAATTGGCATTGGCTTGAATGTGTTATGTTATTTGACATTTGCACAAAATTGGAAAATAAATAACACCGAGCTGAATAACACCGAGAACGTGCCTACCATCTGACAAGACAGTGAGCCCTGGGTGGAAAATCATTGCTCATGGATAGTAAATCCTGCATTGCTTCAGGAAGAGCATCTGTTAAAATATAAGTTCCTTTTATGAAATAAAAATAAATCTAAGAAAAACAGGAAACACAATTCCTTCATAGAAGTTAATTCCTTTGAGCATATGTAAGTATAACTATTGGTAATTAACTGAATATCATGGAAAGCAAGACTAATTTGCAATATCTACACCCCTATCAAGAATTTAATAGTTTTAGATCCTAAATGATCCACTTCTGTAATACAAATATACATGCACACAATTGAAAGTTGAATAAATTCATTCCAACTCAACACTTTCAAAAATGTATTATAGAACTCGATACTTCAATTATACTTTAATATAAAAGTTTATGATTCCAGCTGATGTTACCATTGAACAAGTCAGATCCCAGAATAAAATCCGACTCGACAGACCATATTTTGATTTTCTTCTTAATTTAAGATGGCAGTATTTCACTAAAGCATAAGCATACATGGCTGTGGATTTGGTTTTAATAGTAAAAAAAGTCTATTACACAAAAGAAATAAAACTAAAACAAATTAAACCAAGCAATGTACATATAACAGTTGGAAAGTTTCAAAGCACAAAGCAAAACAAAATCCCGAGCTCTCAACACTGTTACATTACAGTTACTCAAGACCAGAAAAAATTCCTTCTCCTATCAAATTTGTAGTTTGACTTAACTGCTTCTTCTCTGTTCCAGTCCTGTGAGCTACAAAATCTTTTTCTTTGTTTCAAGTAATTGAAATCCGACACAGTCCCAGCTCTGAATAACTAATGCAGGTTTCTAACCAAACACTCATAATTGAAAGTTTTCATAAAGTACAGTCTTGCACTGAGCTCAATCAGCCTAGTGAATTCCTTTTAAACTGCCTCCAACACCAGCATATCATTTTTAAATACAGGAACCACTGTATGCAGTGTTCCAGGTGTGGCCTCACTCAACAGCCTGTACAGTGGTCACAAGACTTCCCTATTCATAACCTTAGTTAATAAAACCAACCACTTAACCATGTCCTGCCACCTTATGTGACTAGTAGACATGCACATCAAGGTGTCTCTCTCTGATTCTCGGTGCTTCCCAAGATCCTATTATTTATCATGTACTTCCTGCCTGTTTGATCTGCCCAAGTGCAATAACCCTAACCCACCTCGGACTTATCTGGATTGAATACCATTTGCCATTGATCAAAACGTCTGAGCAGCCCACCTAAATTCCCATGTATTCCAAGGCTTTCGTCCTCACTATTCACCATCCCAATTTTCATATCACCCCCAAACTTACTGATGAATCCTCTTGCATTCTACGTTGTTTACATGTACCACAATCAGAAAACATCCCAACATTGATCCCTGCAAATTCCCACTAGACATAGACTTCTAGTCACAAAAACACTTCTCGATCACCACCCTTTGCTTCCTGCCAATCAGCCAATTCTGTACCCAATTTGCCAAATTTCCTTTGTTCCCATGATTCTCACCTTCACTATCAGTCTCTCATGAAAGACATCAAAGGCCTTGCTAAAGTCCAAATAGACTACATAGTTGCATTGCCTTCATCTATTCACCTGGTCACCTCTTCAGAAAGTTCAATCAAGTTGATCAGGCATAACCTCCCCTTGATAAAACCATGCTAACTATTCTTGATTAATCCGTGCCTCTTCAAGTACAGATTAATTCTGTCCCTAAAATTGCTTCCATTAGTTTCTCCATCACTGAGGTTAGCCTAACTGGTCTGAGGTTTCCTGGTTTATCGCCTGCACCCTTCTTTGAAAACAGTATCACATTGGCTGTCCTCCATTCCTATGGCTACAGACGATTTAAAAATTATTGCCAATGCCCCTACTATTTCCTCCCTTGCCTCAAACAACATGGGATACATTTCACCCAGCACTGGAGATTTATCTATCCTTAAGTCTGCCAGATCACTCAGAACCTCCTTGCTGTCTATGCTAATTTCTTTAAGCATATCACAGTTCTTCCCCCAACTTCTACACCCACTCATCGTTCCTCTCACTAGTGGTCACCGACAAAATATTCACTTAGCACTCCACCCACAAATTACCACTGTGGTCCTTATTTGCCTTAACCTTTCCCTAGTTATCCTGAATGTATGTGTAAAATAACTTAGGATTTTCCTTTATTTAACCTGCCATTGTTTTTTATTTATTCATCGTGGGATGGGAGTATCGTTGGCCATTTATTGCCCATCCCTAACTGACCAGAGGGCAGTTTAAGAGTTAACTGTGCATCTGAGGTCACACATAGGCCGATTAGGTAAGAATGGCAGTTTCTTTCCCCAAAGGACATTGGTGAACCAAATGGGTTTTTCCAACAATAGAGAATGGATTCATGGTCATCATTATACTCTTTACTCCAGATTTTTATTGAATTCAAATTCGACTAACTGTCATGGCAGTTTTCAAACCTGGATTCCAGGATATTATTTGGGTCTCTGGATTAATTGTCTAGCCATAATACAACTAGGACATTGGCATGAAAGAGGGAGGCATTGTGTTGTTCTCCTGATTTCCTTGTCAAGTTTCCCCTTAAACATTCTGTAGTTGTCTAGGACTACTTCTGTTTTGCACCCTCAGAATCTGCCATAAGCCACTCTTTTTCTCTTTATTCAATCTTGTACATGCCTCAATATCCAGGGTTTGTAGGATTTCTTGGTCACACCCTTGTCTTTATTGGAAGATGTTGGCGCTGTACTCTCCCTAGTTCCTTCTTGAATGCGCCCCACTGCTCTGACACAGATTTACCTAAAAACTCCCAGTCCACTTTGGCCAAATCATATTTGATCTTATTAAAATCAGTCTTTCCCCAGTTTTGAACTTTAATTTCAGGCTCATAATAACCAAGTCAACTCAAATAGCCAGTCATACCTTCTTCAGATTCTTCTTTTATTTCTTTATCAGTCAGATATTCTTGTTTGAGATAATGGTGTGTTATACTGAATTTATAGTCCGCGAAAGAAATTTCATCAGACTTCTCCTCCCACACTCCAGAAGTGAATTCACCCTGTAAATTCACAACGTTGAACACTTTCTTATAGAACAGATTTTAAATACATTTATGAAGAGTCAACACAATGAATTTAAAGGCATGTTTACACAAAATTCCTCTTGAAAACTGAAGTATCATGGGCTGGAATTATTATTCCATGGATATGGACCAAGGAATGCAGACAAGGGCTAATGGCAATTATGTCAATTTTGCAACATCCTTTATCACTGCATAAATTATGCTAGAAGATGCTTTAGAAACTGCCATAAATGAACCCATTATAAACATTAGAAGAAAATTTAATCAACCCCATAACAAAGCAAACATAGAAAATAGGAGCAGGAATTGCTCTGCCATTATGATCATTGCTGTATTTATATTGCTTTTATTTTGAACAATTTGCTCTATTTTTTTAAAATTTCTTGATAAAAACATGAAACAGCAAACAATATTATTTTACTTATTTATATAAGAGCATTTAGTAAAACAAACCTTTTCCAAAGGATCCCTTGCAGTGCTTCCAATCAGTTTCCAATTGTTCAGTACTTCTTCAATTCTTGACACAAATCTAAAAGTTTTGAAAATACAATGTGATGTTAAAATGCTTGAGGTTTATTAACACTTGAATAAAGCCTTAAGACATGACATGTAATTTTGGAAGCCAAAGTTGATTTTTATACTTAACTGTAAGAACATTTCTTAGACTTCAATCTAGGAAAATTTTGAAACATTTGTTCACAGATGTAAGTATACTGGTTAGGACAGCATTTATTAATTATCCCTAGTTGCCTCGAGGGTAGTTTAGAGTCAACCACATGGCTGGGGGTCTGGAGTAACATATAGGCCACACCAGTTAAGAATGGTTCATTAATGTCCTTTTAAGAATCTGCCAAAGAAATTTTTTTTCACAACAATCGACAGTGGATACATGGTCAAGATTAGACCAGCTCTTTGATTCACAGATTTTACAGAAAAGAAATTTGGTAGGATTTTCCATGGTAGGATTTGAACCCACATCTCTAGAACATTAGCATTTAAAAATACAGTGCAATATACTGTGTTCCAAGAATGAGGATCAATACATGTATGAAACTTGCCATATTTCCACTTCTTTTGATTGCCCCAAGGTACTGGAATCTCTTGAATCAGCCAATCTACTCAAAGCAGCAGCATTATCTTTCAATTTAGTGTGCACAAGATATTTTTGTCTCTTATAAAATATGATAACTTTTAGAATAATTTACAGAAAAAATAACTTATGCAACTATTCTTTACAATAAAAATTTTCAAAAAACAATATTTTAATTGCACAGTCAATTATTTTTGTAACATATTAATCTGCATAAATTACTACTGACATTCTTATTAACAAAAGCCGTGATACAAACTCAAGTGGTGTTAGCAATAAAAATATAATTAACAGAATTTTGTACTCATTCTCCATACACCTCAGTAAACCTAAAAAACAGAACTGAATTCATGCTTTATGACTCTGAATCCTTTAATATCCGTTTCACCTTTATCAGATGCACTAAACCTTTTGTATGGCTCATTTTCTCAACTCAAGGTCACTTAAATTGAACAATCTGATAATGAACATCTTTTGCACACCAACTTCCCTATTCACTATTTTCATGCTTTAAACATCATTTCTAGATCATTTAAACATCTTTAACGGAGAAAAGAAATTTGAGATATTAAAAGGAGTAATGTATAATTTTGAAGTTCCAGTGTGGTCCATTACTTGTACCAGTCCATCACAGCTCGGTTAGACCATAAAACATAGAAGTACAAGTCGATCATTCAGCCCATTGAGTCTACTCCACCATTCAATCAGATCATGGTTGGTTTGATTTTCCTTAAGCCTATTTTCGTACCTTTTCCCCATGATCCTTGACTCCCAGATTAAAAATTTCTCTACACAAGTGCGAAGTATACTTAATGATCCAGCCTCCACAGCCCTCTGCAGTACAGAATTCCAAATTCACTGTCTTCAGAAAAATTTCCTTGTCATTTTCCTTAGTGGGTGACCCCTTACTCTGAGATTACACCCTCTGATCCTCGACTTTCCACAAGGGAGAAAACCTCTCCACATCTACCTTGTGGAGCTAAGAATTTTGTATTTTACGAAGGTCATCTCTCATTTTTTAAAATTCCAATAAATACAAACCCAATCTGCTCAACCTCTTACCATAAGATAATCCCTCCATACCCAACCAAATGAACCTTTTCTAGACTGTCTCCAATACTTTTACATCTTTCTTGAAATAGGGAGATCACAACTATTCCCAATATCTTAATTTTGGTCTAACTAGTGCCTGTATTGTTTTAACAAGATTTCCCAATTTTTATGTTACATTCGACTGAAATAAAGGCAAATATTTCATTAGCTGTTTGTCATCTGCTGACTTCTTATGCTAGTTTTTTTGTGATTTATACACAAGGACTCCTAAATCCCTCTGCACTGTAGCTTTCTGAACTTTCTCAATTTAAATAATATTTAACTCTTCTTTTTGCCATGGTGTATAAACCCACATTTTCCTCACAGAATATTCCACAGGTCAAACTTTTGCCCTCTCGCTTAACTTGTATATCCCATTGCAGACTCTGCCATCCTCATCACTTGCCTTCCTAAAATTTAGGAACAGTACGTTCACTTCCCTCATCCAAGTCACTAACACATTACAATAATTGTGGCCCAGCATTGATCCCTGAGGCACTCCAAAAGTTACATGCTGCCATCCTAAAATACCCCTTTATCCAGCTCTCTGGATCGTTACTTACCTAACCCTCCATCCATACTAACATGTTACCCCAACACCATGTAGTCTAAATAAAAACTGAAAGAACTGCAGATGCTGTGAATCAGAAACAAAAACAGAAGTTGCTGGAAAAGTTCAGCAGGTCTGGCAGCATCTGTAAAGAATTCAGAGTTAATGTTTCAGTTCCAGTGACCCTTCCTCAGAACATCTTTCCTCGTTTGGTTGAGTATGGAGGGATAATCAAGAGGCGACTAGATATAGCACTTGTGGTGAATGGGATCAAAAGGTTATGGGGAGAAGGATTAGGCTATTGAGCTGGACGATTAGCCATGATCGTGAAGAATGGTAGAGCAGGCTCGAATGGCCGAATGGCCTCCTCCTGCGCCTATCTTCTATGTTTCTATAACAGGAAGGGTCACCAGACCCGAAACATTAACTCTGATTTCTCTTCACAGATGCTGGCAGACCTGCACTGAGCTTTTCCAGCAACTTCTGTTTTTGTTTGTGACCATGTGGTACCTTACCCAGCACAATTGAGAAATTAGTTTTCAATTTGGTTACTAATTAAGGAATTAATTCCAAAAAATGTACGGTCAGACGACAACCCTAGGAAACGGAAATCACAACATGAAATTCTTCTATCTTTTCTCCGGAGGTGACAACACAGAAAGACAATCAACTCCCCAATGATGCTGTGAAACAGCCCTTCAGAGATTCTCTTTCTTTCCCTTTCCAAGCCAAATCAAACCAGGATGGCTTTGAATTTATGTCATAACCCAATCAGTGACCTTCACACTCGGACAAAAACACACCATACAGTATATTTTGACATAGTCACATTCCTGTAGTTTTACAGATTCATGGATTATTTAAAGAGTCTTACAATGAGTTACAATTTAATAAACTTCAATGGCACAAAGCAGACTAAGCATTATTCCATTATGAAATGCTGCATGGCTCCGACAACAAACTGTCTTATACATGGAGTAACTGACTCCATGACTTCAATAAAAGGGTGTCCTGAAGATTCCTTTGGAAGCGAATGGCTTAGGAGGGGCTGAAGAATCTAAAATCGATAAAGTAAGTGCAAAAACCTGCTGGCTACGCACTGCCCATCGTGTTCATGGTACATAAACCACAGTAACCAGATAGTTTGCCAGGCAGCCAAAGGATGGGATGGTGCCTGTGGAGGACAGAAAACCAGAACCAGGCTCTCGCGCGTCTCCACCACGGACGCTCGCGATTCCCAACGGCCACAGCCCCGGCTTCCCCTCACCCTACCTCTCCCACTCCGACGCCGTCGTAAAGTCCGTGATTTCGAACACTTCCGACTCGGGCTGCCGCAATTAAAAGAAAAGAAACACACGAGAAAACAGTGTGAGAACGATCATGGAATGGCCAACTATAACGACAAACAACACATTTTCACACAAGAAAAATAAAGATCCGTTCACTCACGTCACTGTCCGCCGCCATCTTGAAATCTGTTTGTTTGTTTGTCAGGCGATGCCTTGTGGGTAGAGGCACGCCTCCAGCTCCGGAAACACCGGTCATTCTCGGTCAGCATACCCGGGGTGATATGGAAATACTGGTCATCTCGAGTCATCACTGTCCTG